CAGACAAAAACTGCGCAGAAACCACCCAGTTGGTCCAAGAATCGAGAGATAATAAGTCCTTGAATCCTCCCTCTCTTTCTCTCATCCCCATATTTTACCACTGGCAAATCCTGCCAGCTCTATTTTCGAAATACATGTGGAATCCATTACTTCTCATCAACTCTAACACTACCTTACTAATCATATCTTACATAGATTATAAAATGATCTCCTAACAAGTCTTTTTGGAGTGATTAAAATATTTTCTATCTTGATTGTGGTCAAATTCATCAAGCTATACATTTTTTAAAGAGTAAGTTTTATTGTATTTAAATTATATCTCAAAAGTCCTGACTATAAAAAAAAGCAACATGAAGCCACCCAAAGCTTTCAAGTTATTTTCAAAGTACAATATATCTGTGTTAAACCAATTGCATTTCTTAAGACAAGCACAAAATAATCTTTGGTATGAATAAGGGGAATAAACCAGCTATAGAAACATCAAAATGTACTTTAAATAAGCAAATGTATACACACTTGAGAAATGTATAGAATTGGCTATAATTATAATAAACATACTCAGAGAAAATGTAATGAGCTGTTATAGACAGAAAACCTCTTTATTAAATGATCCCATATATCATAGGAAGAAATTCAAGGAGCAACTACTACCATCAGTCAGAGCTATCAAAGAGTTTGCTTTACAGTTATATGAAAAGACTAATATAAGCCTGGGCAACATAGTGAGACTTTGTCTCCACAAAAGACTAAAAAATTGGCTGGGTGTTTTGGCACATGCCTGTAGTCCCAGCTATTGGGGAGGCTATACTGGGAGGATCACTGGGGCCCAGGAGGTTGAAGCTACAGAGCCAGGATTGTGTCCCTACACTACAGCCTGGATGACAGAATGAGACACTGTCTCAAAAAAAAAAAAAAAAAGAAAAAAGATTGAAAGGCGGCGTTTCAAGAAGCTCTTGGCAGATTTGCAGTACATATTTAAAAGAGAAAGGCTTAACTACCTTTTGTTCTCTTTAAGCAAAACCTGTGCCATAAGAAAAGGGCTTTTGAAATTTTAGTTATGCTTTTGGACATTGAAAACCCAGAAGGTAGGGGTGGAAGGGGTGGAGGATGCACAGGTGGGGGTGATGGGTACACTTAAAGCCCAGACTTTACCACTGTACATGCAACCATGTAACCAAAAACTATTTTTTACTCCCTAAAGCTACTGAAATTTTTTTTAAGTACTTAATATTTTGCAAGTTATAATGTGAATAGGGAAAAAAAAATGTAGGCCAGGTAAGGTGGCTCACACCTGTAATTCTAGCACTTTGAGAGGCAGAGGCAAGAAGATTGCCTGAGCCCAGGGGTTTGAGAACAGTGTGGGCAACCTGGCGAGACTTCGTCTCTACAACAAATTAAAAAAAAAAAAAATAGCGAGGCATAATGGCACCTGTAGTTCCAGCTACTTGGAAGGCTGAGGTACAAAGATTGCCTGAGCATAGCAGGTTGAGGCTGTGGTAGCCGTGAGCATGCCACACTGCATTCCAGCCTGGGACAGAATGAGACTTTGACTCAAAAAAATGTAATCAACATGATAAAGCACCAGAAATGAGTGCTGCAGGGAAGAAGCTTTACTTGGAATTAAAGTTGCACCCACTACTATTATTCACAGAAAAGAGTTGATGGTCAACAAAATGCCTCCTGGTCTTGACTGTTGGTAAAGAGTGAATACAGATAAATTGTGACTGCTTGGAGCAGTCTTTTCAGCAGCTGGGCATAATCCACAAATACCTGGCTGCTTTTCCAGTCATGAACACTGGCTATCAGCAATGGAACAGAGACTGTCTCTCAATATCTATTCCACCTTTAATCATTTCTGGTTCTATTCTGGGCAGCAAGGTACCCAGCCTGTCTTATACCCAGGAGCAGCCAATAACATATAAGTAGAAGGTCTTGAGGTACTTCTGTAAAAGAGCCTTTTAAAGGGGGCATAATGCTGACCAGACTTTGCTGTTTTCCTTTCATTTCTTTTTGATGGGGAAAATCTGATAGCTGGAGCTGCATCAGTCAATTGGACCATGAGGTGACCCTGAGGACAAAAATCAGTGCTAAGGCAGTAAAACAGTAAGATAGGAGCCTGAATTCATTCTTGCTGATATCATGAAGCTGCCGAAAGAGCACTGGACTGCCATCTCAGGGTTTCTATAACTTGAGAGAAAAATAAGCATCTATCCTGTTTAAACCTGTTTTTTGTATTATGTAGGCTTAATCTAACCTATACAAATTTAAAAATACACATAGTTTTAAATAAGAATTAAAGACAACCTTGATTTTCTCAGTGGTTTACTCAAGCAAATTATCTCAATGATAAGCTAAGTTCCTTGAATGGCCTAAACTCATCACTTCAGATCTAAAATTCAACATTTAATATTAAAGATAGGAGTCATTTCCCATTTAGCGTCCCTCTAGGGTAAGTTCAGACAAGCTGTGGTACATGGTCCCTACAGAAAATGGCTTACACTCTACTTACAAGCCCTATTATCTCTAAGTTCTAACCCATCTTACCCTGGCAGTTTCAACCTCCAAGTTAATCCTAACGGCAGAAGAACAAACAAGTAGACTGCTATGATTATTAAAATCCCAAGCCACTTTTATAGGACAATAAGTTCTACCACTCCTAAATCATAGGTCTTAAATTGATTATGGCAAATACTCACAACTGGTATTACCTAAACCCTAAAATCTCAGTGGCTGGACAAATAAAATCCAGCATGGATCATGAGTGTGATGAGCACTATACCATTCAATAAGGGGTTCAATCTCTCCTGTTGGATCCTTTCTACATCTCTCCAACAAAAGAAAACACATCAGGGAGAGCAGGAGAGATTTTTCAGGGGCTTGGAAATGGCATACATCAGTTCCTCCCACATTTCATTTACCCGACTACAGGCATATGGTCCCACATTTCATATGGCTAAAGGGATGCAAGGAAATGCAATCTAGCTGTACGCTAAAGAGAGAGCAGAGCATTTTGGTCACCATTGCCATGTAACAAATTACCCCTAAACTGGTTATTATTACCTCTCAATTTCAGTGGGTCAGGAACTTGGGCGTTTAGCCAGGTGGTTCTGCTAACCATCCCATGGGGCCTCTCACAAGGTTGCAGTCAGATACTGACCAGGACTGCAGTCATCTGAAGGCTCAACTGGGATGGGGCATCTGCTTACAAGATGGTTTATTCACATAACTGACATATTATTGCAGACTGTTGGCAAGTTCAGTTCCTCTCAATAGAAACCTTTCCAGTGGACTGCTTGAGTGTTCTCAGTCATAGCAGCTGGCTTTTCCTAAATTGTCTATTCAGGCTGCTGTGATAGACTACCATAGACTGGGTGGTCTATAACCAGTAATGTACTTGTGACGTTCTGGAGGCTGGGAAGACTAAGATCAAGGCACCAACAGACTGTGTCTGTTGAGGGCTCACTTCCTGGTTGATAGACAGCTATCTTCTTATTGGAGCTCTCCAAAGTCTTTTTTTAAGAGTCAGAGTCTCACTCCATTGCCCAGGCTGGAGTGCAGTGGCACGCTCACGGCCACCCCAGTGTCGACCTGTTTGGCTCAGGCGATACTTCCGCCTCAGCCTTCCAAATAGCCGAAACTACAGGCGCATGCTACCATGCCTGGCTAATTTTTTTTGACATATTGTAGAGACGAGATCTCACCAAGTGGCCCAGACTGGTCTTGAACCCCTGGGCTCCGGCAATCCTCTTGCCTCGGCCTCCCTATGTGTTGGGATTACAGACTTGAGCCACTATGCCTGGCCCAAAGTCTATTTTATAAGAAGAGCACTAATCCCACTTATGAGACTGAGGCGATCATCTGCCTCAGTCTCCCAGGTAGCTGGGTCTACACACCACCACATCCAGCTTGTTTTTGGCCTTTTTTTTTTTTTTTTTTTTAGAGACAAATCTCACTACATTGCCTAGGCTAGTCTCAAACTCCTGGGCCCAAGCAATCCTCTCACCTCAGCCTCCCAAACTGCTGGGATTACAGGCATGAACCATTGCACCAAGCTTAAGAAACTATTTAAACATTCACTAACAAGAAAAAACTTTTAAAGAAAATGCAATTTTCAATTAAATATATCAAACCCTACCACAACATTCTTTTTAGAGATTAAAAATGAAAGAAACGCATATAAGCACAAAAAGAATGGGAGAAGAGACAAAAACAGACAAGAAGCATCAAATTTTGGAAGCTGAAAAGTACCTACATAAAGGAAAGCCACTAAGCAGAGTTATTTGCCTTGTAGAAACTTAGAAAGGTTAGGCAGGGTACATGGTAAGGCTAAAAACATGTTTGGTTGTCAGTCTACCTAAGAACTCAGACCCTGAGTTCTTTCCCCAACACCACATAGCTAGATTCATGCACAACTTAAATATTTTTGTTAATGTGTGCGCACATACACATTTAAAAGAGTGGGTTTTCAAACAGAAAAATTAATGTTTTCAGTCCTTAAAATATTCAGATAGAGTTTAGATAGCAAGGAAATATCAATATATGTCTTTACATGGTCATCAAAGACTATGACAAACCTACTTTCATTCTTCCCAAATTACCCCCAGAATCTAGGGGAAACATACAAGTTTAGAAACAATGTTTCTAAATCCAAAATGGTCACTTTCTGAATCAATCACATCAACACTCCTATGTTCTTAGAATATGAGGGAATTAGATGCCTAAAAATCATAATTTGTATCTATTTTAGTCTTAAAGAAGAGTTCAAAGTTAAAGTTAAATTTATGAACTCTCATAATTTGTCTTCAAAGACTAGTCACATCATTATAACAATGCAATGTTCACATGTTAGGACCTCCATGGGAATAAAACACAAGAAACCTCCAGAATTATGAACCCACCTTCAAACATTCCAACAAATACATATACACTTTTCAGTCAGGGTCTCATTCTGTTGCCCACATAAATACATTTTTAAAAATAAATCAAATGCAGAATTCAGAGACTGTTAACATGCAACAATATCCTTTATTATTATGTACGGGTTTTAAAAATTATTTCCTGAATCTCTCCATACACAGGCAAAAATAAGTGTGCCACTTAACATAATGGAACTTGCAAACTTGATAATTGCCTAGAGAAGGGAAAATTTATCCCTAAAACAGGTTTAACCAGGAGGCCAATGCATCTGACGACCTCCAAGAACATGGAGATGAACGTGATAGACAGACTGTCCCCCATCAGAACCTTCATTCACCACCATTCGATAACCCTTATTCAGGCCCAGATTAGCAGCACATTTCTTGCCAACAATCATTAAATGTCCAAGAAGCTGGAAAAGGAAAAAAAAAAAGTTTCTTAAGCACAGGTAATTTACAACTTTTTGCCATTAAATAACAAACTATCAAGTTGAAATATCAAATTTTAAAACTATAAAATTAAAACATACCCCTTTAGTTAAGTATTTAGAAACTCTTAATCTCAATACAACATAATTTACAATTGGAAACCCATTAAGTATTCATTACTGACTTCAATAATCAAATTAGGTATAAAATCTATTACTCAATTTTAAAATGTTTAAATTATATGCTAAGAAGTATCTAAGTTTTCTTTATTTTATTTATTTATTTATTTTTATTTTTTTTGAGTTGGAGTCTCACTCAGTCGCCCAGACTGGAGTGCAGTGGCCGCTCCCGGCCACCGCAGCCTCGACCTGCTGGGCTCCGGCAGATCCTTTCACCTCAGCCTTCCAAGTAGCTGGAACTACAGGTGCGCGCTACAACGCCCAGTTAATTTTTTTTTTTGGTATTTATTGTAGAGATGAGGTCTCGCCAAGTTGCCCAGGTAGGTCTCGAACCCACGGGCTCAGGCAATTCACTCACCTCGGCCTCCCAAAGCACGGGATTATAGGCTGAGCCACTGAGCTCGGCCCTAAGTTTTCTTTAAACAAAGCAAGACGTTTTGCTTTATAACTTCCTTGTCACTGTTGTATTTTTCCTGTGGACATGCAAGATCTGCTATATTGTCTGGCAACATGTAGGATCCTGTGGCAAATACCTGGCCCCACTCTGGGTCATCCTATTTGTTTTTTGGTTCAATCTATAGGCAATTTGTCTCTATTGGAACATGAAGTCAGCTTGTGTGTTGGCAGATTTCCTCCTTAATAAAAGTTAAAGGGGAAGGGTTGGCAAGAGAAGGAAGTTTTAACTACCATCTCACTGCTCATGCCTTCGGTAAGAGAACAAAGCTGGGGGATTAACCCCTTTCCAACATTCTAACAAACTCTCAGGAAAGGTGACTCTAATTCCTATGGCAAGAAAAGAAGGAAGGGAAAGAGAGTCTTAAGTTTCTATTCCCATTACCTTAGTAAGCCCCAAAATAATGGACTCTGCAGGTTATGCAATAAGAGCCACTGGACAGATGGCCCCTTATGATTTTCAACTTTACAGTAGTATGAAAGCAATACACATTCAATAGAAGCTATACTTCAGATTTTGATCTTTTTCCAGGTTAGAGACATATGGTACAATACTCTTAACATGAGATATTTAACAATCTATTATAAAATAGATTAAATCTCTGCTAAATGATTTTGCTGTTCTGTCAGTTTAAATCAGGCTAGGCTAAGCCATGATGTTCAGTAGATTAGGTGTATTAAATGCACTATTTTTTATTTTTAATTTTTGTAGAGATGGGGTCTATCTATGTTGCTGGTCTCAAACTCCTGGCCTCAGGCGATCCTCCCACCTTGGCTTCCCAAAATGCTGGGATTACAGGCATGAGCCACCATGCCCAGCCTATTACATTCATTTCTGACATACAATCCTTTCACTTACAAAAGGCTTATCAGGATGCAGCCCCATCATAAGTCTAGGAGCATAGGTATAAAATTTTATATAGCAGATAACAAATTTAATGATGAGTTAGTAGTTTTAAAGCTGGTTCAGCAAATGTTTCCTGGCAAAAAATTGTGTCTCCTATGTAAAAAAGCTGACCTTAAAGCTCTAATTTAGAAAGTTAGCTGAGTTACAATTAACATTCTAACTATCCTTACATGCAAGAGCTGCATTTGGAGTAAGAAGCTCTGACCTTAAAATGCCATGACTGTGCTAGCATACTGAATGTTAAAAAAACAGTACGCTGAAGTTTTAATCTATTATTGCATAATAATATTAATGGCATTTTACCATTAAGCACTCACTCTAACCTTTCAACTATATGATTTGTACAAATGTACTGAATTAAAAATAATGCCCTGAAATTTCTAAGTTTCAGAAATCACGTCTTGCTTTTAAAAGGGGATCCAAGTAAACAGTTGACCCTTTCACAATGTGGGTTTGAACTTAGATGCAAATTTTTCTTCTGCCTCTGCCATCCCTGAGACAGCTACACTACATCCTCCTCTTCCTTCTCCTCACCCTAGTCAATGTGAAGACCTTTATGATGCTTCATTTCCACTTAATGATAGTAATTATATTTTCTCTTCCTTATGATTTTCTTAATACTTTATTTTCTCTAGCTTACTTTATTATAAGAATACAACATGTAACTTACATATATATAACATACAAAATATCTGTTAATTAACTGTTTATATTATCAGAAGGCTTCCAGTCAACATCAGGATACTAGCAAAGTTTTGGGGAGTCAAAAGTTATATTTGGATTTTCAATTGCACAGGGGTTGGCACCCCTGACCCACCCATTGTTCAAAAATCAAATGTAATTAAAATATTAAGACACAAATGCCCATTTCTTAATTTCAGCATTTTTTAAATTTTTATGTAAAACACTACATATCAGTTAAAATGTATGAAAACATATGAACAGTTTAAAGAAGAATAAAACAAATATGTACGTACCTACCAGATCAAAGACTAGAACATTATTATACCCCAGAGGCTTCCAATTCCATTACTTTCTCCATCTTCCACCCCTACTTCAAAGGTTACAGATTTTTTTCTCAGTTTGTGGTATGCCCTTTCACTCTCTTTATGAAGTCTTTTGATAAACAAAAGTTCTTAATTTTAATGTGCTGAATTTAATCAACTTTTTCTTTTATGAATTGTCCTTTTTGTTTAAGGAATCATTCTCAGTCCCAAAGTCATAAAGATAATCTCTAATTTTGATTTCTAAGATAAATCACTCCTTGCATGAGCCCAGGAATTAAAGACTGCCGAGGCAACATAGCAAGACCTTGTCTCTACGAAAAAATTAAAAATTAGCAGGGCATGGTGGCATACACCTATAGTCTCAGCTACTTGGGAGGCTGAGGTGGGAGGATCCCTGAGTCCAGGAGGTTCCCTGTGGTGAACCATGATTGTGCACTGTGGTGAACCATGATTGTGCACTGCACTCTAGTCTGGGAGACAAGGTGGGACCTCAACTCAAAAAAATAAAAAAATAAAAATCATTTCTAATCAGTCTTTAATACAACTGAGTTGATTTTTATAGAAAGTATGAGATTATGGTCCCTTGTGATACAAATAAGATTATATAAATAAATAAATTATCCCAGCATCACTATTAAAAAGTCTATCCTGAAATAATATGTCTATGATTTGCTTAAAGAAAAAAACCTAAGAGTGGGTTAAATACAACTTAATCAGGATGTTTATACAGATAAATGTTGAAATTGAATGATAGGAATCTTAGGATTCATTATACTTAGCATTCTCCCTTCTTCTCTGAATGCTTGAAATTTTCCATAATAAAAAGTCACCAAAAAACAAAACTCTTCAATTACTCATTCCTGATCTGGAATAGAACTGTCATATTGAAAGTACACATATATGAGGGATTGTTTCTGAACTCTATTTCGTTTTAAAGTTTCATTATCGTTCGGTTGATACCACTTTGCTTTAATTACTGCAACTATAAAATGAGACTTCTGGGGTAAGTCCCACATCCTATTTTAGAGTTTTACTATTGTTGAGCCCTTGCATTTTCCAAAAATATTCTGGAATCAACTTGTCAAGATTTGAAACTTTCTTTTTAATTGAATTTAGTTTAAACTGAGGGAAATGACATCCTCATATTAAGTCTTCTAACCCATGAACATAATATATCTTCTATTTACTTAGAGTGGATTGCCTGAGCCCGTGGGTTCGAGACCCGCCTGGGCAGGTGAGACTTCATCTCTACAATAAATCAAAAAATTAGCCGGGCTTGGTAGTGCGCGCCTGTAGTTCCAGCTACGTGGAAGGCTGAGGCGGAAGGATCGCCGGAGCCCAGCAGGTCAAGGCTGCGGTGGCCGGGAGCGACCACGGCACTCCAGTCTGGGCGACAGAGTGAGACTCCAACTCAAAAAAAAAAAAAAAGATTTCAATATTCCTCATAAAAATTGGCAATAAGTGAAAATTTTATATAAAATGAACTTTCCATCTTACCCACCACTCCTAAGTGCCAGTTATAATAGAACAAACTCCTTAAGTCCCAGGTCAGGGGACTGACTAGACCTCACTAACAAGATGCCTTTATTCCTACTTAGGCCACATAACTTTCTTGAGAGTCAGTGCCATAGTGGAGCTATATTACCCATAGAAGATTGAATCCACACTAAGAAATAAGTAGAGGCTGGGTTCAGCGGCTCAGCCTGTAATCCCAGCACTTTGGGAGGCCGAGACAGAGAACTGTCTGAGCCCGCAGGTTCAAGACCAGCCCAGGCAACTTGATGAGACCTCATCTCTACAATAAATCAAAAATTAGTGGGCATGGTAGTGGCACGCCTATAGTTCCGGCTACTTGGAAGGCTGAGGGAGAAGGATCGCAGGAGCTCAGCAGGTCGACACTGGTGTGGCCATAAGTGTGCCACTGCACTCCAGACTGGGCGACAAAGTGTGACTCCAACTCAAAAAAACAAAAGAAAAGAAAGAAGTATACATGATTAAATCAAATACAGACCACCAGAGATAAAAGTCATATCCAACAAGTAGGATGCCAAATAAAATGCTACTAGGAACACTAAATTACTCTTTAAGAAAGTATAAGGAGAAGCAAAAACAGAGTTGCCTTATGTACTGGTCTGGGATAAGAGTATATGATAAACACTATATAGCTGAACCGAGACACCAAAAATATGTCAAAGTAACTTAATATTATAATGTCTCTAACTGACTCCTTTGACAATATAGTTCCCCTAACTTTTGAGGCTAGAATCATGCTCCTCTTTCATTAGTCTCACTCCCTATCGCTGGTGTGCCAGGGCCTGACTGAAATGCAGACTGACCTACAAGGAAGAATACAATTTACGATATGTCTTAACTTCAACTAGGATAAATTAAACATGTACTGGCTTTCCCAAGACAAACTGGAATTTCAGCACTCCCTACATTTACCTAGAGGTCATGGTAGAAAAAAACTGTGCCAAGGTTCCTGTCAATGCAGGTGGGCCATGACTTTTAACGAGATAGAGATCCAGTTAAGTTTACACTTTCTTAAAATTAAGAAAGAGGGAAGAACAGTATCCTTGGCCAAAGTGAATTAAACTGGAACACTCCTAAGCTCACAGATTTTATTAACCTGGATTAAACTAAAGCTTTGGAAAACAGGTAGCTCCTCCAAAGGATAAACATAGTTACCATATGACCCAGCAATTCCAGTCCTAGAACTACCCCAAAAAATGAAAATATATGTGTTACAAATTTTCATAGCAGCATTATTTATAACAGCCAAAAAGTGGAAAGAATCCAAATACCCATCAAATGAAGAATAAATAAGTAAAATGTAGTCTATCCCTACAATGGAATATTTAGACATAAAAGAGGCCAGGCATGGTGGTTCATGTCTGTAATCCCAACACTTTGGGAGGCTGAGGTGAGAGCACTGCTTGAGCCCAGGAGTTCAAGACCAGCCTGGGCAATATAGTGAGAGTGTGTCTCTATAAAAAAAAAGTGAAAAACTTAGCCCGGGTATAATAGCACGTGCCTGTAGTCCCTGCTACTTTGGAGGTAGGTGGAAGGATCAGGAGGCAGGTGGAGGCAGGTGGAAGCCCAGGAGGTCCAGTCTGCAATAAGCTGTGATTGTGTTACTGCACTCCAGCCTGGGGGACAGAGCGAGACCCACAACTCAAAAAAAAAGAAAAAGAAAAAGGTGCTGAAACATGCTACAACGGGAGCCATGAAAACACTACAATAAGTAAAAGAAATAGTCACAGAAGACCATATATTGTATGATTCCATTTATATAAACTGTTCAGAATAGGCAAATATAGAGACAGAAGGTAGCAGAATATTAAGCCTTGGGCTTGGGGGAAGGGACTTGGTGAGGTGGGCAGTATGGAGGATGACTGCTAATAGACAAGGTGTTTCTTTTGGGGATGATAAAAGTGTTCACAGGTGATGGTCGCATAATTCTGTGAACATACTAAAAACAAGTGACTTGTATACTAATTAGGTGGATTGTATGGTATGCGAACATCTCAATAAAGCTATTTTGTTGGGGGTTTTTGTTGTTTTTAAGAAAGTCTACCAACCTTAATTACGCTAATCAACTCAAGTAGTAAATGGGGAGGATCCTTGGGGAAAGCACTTATATTCCTTAAGAAGCCTATAAATACCACTTTTTCTTTATGGAAATAAGTGAAGAGATAATGTCTTTGTGTTTAAATAACACAAACCTTTCCTGAAAGACAGCCTGCATTTCTGCACTGAGAAAAAATAAGCATCATCTACTAATCCTTGATCAGACCCTTTTTGTTTAGTAGTACTATATTTTACTTTTTGATAGTTAAGTCTCCTATAAACAACTGAGGGAGAAACTTACTTTTCATGCTAAAAATAAAAGAAGTTGAGCCGGGCTCGGTGGCTCAGCCAGTAATCCCATGCCTTGGGAGGCTGAGGTGAGTGAATTGCCTGAGCCCGCGGGTTCGAGACCCACCTGGGAAACTTGACGAGACCTCATCTCTACAATAAATCAGAAAATTAGACGGGCGTGGTAGTGCGCGCCTGTAGTTCCAGCTACTTGGAAGGCTGAGGTGGAAGGATCGCCAGAGCCCAGCAGGTCAAGGCTGCGGTGGCCAGGAGCAGCCACTGCACTCCAGTCTAGGCGACAGAGTGAAACTCCAACTCAAAAAAAAAAAAAAAAAAGTTGGAGTAGATTTCATCACAGACTCCCAATTTCTGTCTTGTCAAGAGAAATAAAAAGGATCACAATATTATTTCCTTTAATTGGAACAGCAGTCCAGTGGAGCCAGCAAAGGTTTAAGGCAATCCCTCTTTCTCTAGCCACCACAATCACCAAAGGAGTAATGCCATCTCTGGAGCATAAGAGTATTCAAAATAATGAAGATGTACCCTTAAGAAAAAGGGTTAAAAGCAAGATAATAGCTAAATGTTTGGTCAGTGCTTTTGTTAAAAGAATAAAGGATAAGTAGAATTCTTCAGCCCATCTGTCTTTTGGTGTTCTGAAAAGTCCATCTCCCTGCTTTTATGTATTTATTTATATATGTATTTATTTATTTATTTATTTATTTGAGTTGGGGGTGAGGTCTCACTGCACCTCCAGGCTGGAGTTCAGTGGCATGATCATGGCTCACTGCAGCCTCCTGGCTCAGGAGATCCTTCCACCTCAGTCTCCTGAGCAGCTGGAAATACAGGTGCTCACCACTACACCTATTTTTTTTTTTTTTGGTTGAGACAGGCTCTCACTATGTTTTCCAGACTGCACTCAAACTCCTAGGTTCAAAAAATTCTCTCATGCAGCCTCCCAAAGTGCTGGGAGTGCAGGCATAAGCCACCGTGCCCCACCATCTCCCTGCTTTTAAAGAATCAAAATGCAATTTAGTCCTTATGAGAAATCATTCTTATCTTTTGCAGACTCAAAAATGCCTTATACTTGGCAAACCAGTCTCATAGGGCCTTCCAAGACAAAGGAAAATGAATAGACATTAACACTAAAAAAAGCCCCCTGAACTTCTCTTTGGTAAAGTACTATCTTAAATATAGAGCTTTATGCTACTTAAATTAACAATTTCATTAAAGTTTTGGAAAAATATATTATTTCAGTAATACCATCACTCTGGACTATGGGAGCATATTCAGTAGTTATTATCAGAGTATTAAAAAATGTTCTGGGATATTGGTATTTTCATAAAACATACAGACTTTAGGACTAATAAATTAATTCATAATGAAAATTAAGTACCACAAAACAGGCCAGCTCACGCTTGTATTGACAGCACTTTGGGAGCCTAAGGTGGTAGGATCACTTGAACACAAGAGTTTGAGACCAGCCCAGGCAACATCGTGAGACCTCATCTCTTCAAAAAAAAAAAATTGCCGGCATAGTGGCACAAGCCTGTAGTCTCAGCTACTAGGAGATTGAGGTGGGAGGATCACCTGAGCCTAGGAGGTCAAGGCTGTGGTGAGCCATGATTGTGCAACTGCACTCCAGCCTGGGCAGCAGAGTGATATCTTGACTCAAAAAAAAAAAAAATTTACCACAAAACAGTTTAAAGAAGCAAATGTTTAGAACATTTATCTACCTTCCAAATATTTGTTTTTTAAAACTATGAGATTACTTGCTTATAAATAAGGTCTCGGGTCCCTTTCAGCTTTAAAATGTTGTCTTTTGGCATAGAAGATAACAAAAATAGTTACACCAAAATTCCTCTTATTTATGCATAAGTCAGCAATCTGCAACTGCATTCCAGAAAAGATGTTCCCATAAAGTTCTATAAATAAAAAAATAATGCCCATAAATAATGAAGATTAAAATAGCCTGAGAAACTCAGGCTCTTAGTAAGTTTTCTTTTGGAAAAAATAGTTCCTCTACAGAAAGTCTGAAAAAACCTGATCTAGGTAAACAAATACCATTAATCCTCATGGAAAGGCCAATTTATAGAGATAAGATGGTGGACATTTACATATATCTTTGGATAAAAATCTTTCAGTGTGATATATCTGTCCTCAAAGAAACTCGAAATAATTTACCTTTTCTTAACAACCAAGAGTTCTAACTATAAAGATTAATGACAAAAGTACACAGTCCTATCCAATAGGATCTGACATATTAAGGTTTATATGCCCATGTATATAATGTGGTTCCAGGATTGTTTCATTTTTCACGTTGTATTTTTATTTCACAGGTTTCCCAATTTCTTCTACAAAGCTAAGTGAAAAGCTAGATCTATTGTGACCACCCCAACAGTCCCTCTTGCTGTTTCTGAGTTGCTGCTTCTAACCCAAAAGTTAGCCAATTTTCTCTGCAAAGGCCCAGATAGTAAATATTGTAGGCTTGTGGACCATGTAGCCTCTATCAAAACTACTCAACTCTGCCTTTGTAGTCCTATAGCTATGGACAATAATCAAGCAAACAAGAAAAGCCGTGATCCAATAAAACTTTATTTACAAAAACAGGGAGGAGGCCTGATTTGGCCCACAGTTCACAGACTGCCCCTGCTCTAATTTGTGGATTTAGCAAACAAACTTTTAGACATACTAGACAGGTGTGTTTATAACTGAAAATTGGAGAGGTTCTCTGTGAATTATATCATGAGTTTTTTGATATCTATTTTGGGTAGACAAGATTCGTTTGATTTGGAGTTTGATGTTAGTGACTTTCCATTCAGTATATGCCTCCAATGTATCTGCACAAATCATCCTTTGAAAGAATTCTCATTACTAGAATTTCAGCTATAATTTCAATACCTCCTATTTATGTTTTTCACTCTGATTTGATCACATAGCACACCAACTCTTGGTCCTACGATATGCAATAAAATGCACCATGATTCTATTGAAAAAAATACAGAGAAAATTAACATAGCCCCTGCATAAGGATGACACACAAATTCATGAAGCATTTCACAAAGATGTTTTTTAATATATCTTGTTTCTGGATACATCTGTTTTATTAAAATCAAACTATTTGCACATCACATTTAATTAAGTCATCGTGGCTTTCCTGTTTTTCCTTAGCAATGACCTTAGGAAGATGAAAATGTGTCATCACTTTAAGGACAAAACTTAATCTCCCAATTTTAAAAGCAAGAAAATAAATTGTGTCAGAAATTTACTTACACTTTCATCATCATCTTCTGCTGCAGAAATCTGGGATATGTGTTTCTTGGGTATCACCAGAAAATGTGTTGGCGCTTGAGGGGAAATGTCATGGAAAGCAAGACACTAGGAAAAAGAAAAAAAATATCAAGTTTGTTTTTGATTTTGTGCCACATGGGAAGCACTGTAGTAGACACTAAGAAAACAGAAGTGTGCCGGGCTTGGTGACTCAGCCTGTAATCCCGCGCCTTTGGGAGGCTGAGGTGAGTGGATAGACTGAGCCCGCGGGTTCGAGATCCGCCTGGGCAACTTGGTGAGACCTCATCTCTACAATAAATCAAAAAGCAGCCAGGCGTGGTAGCGCGCGCCTGTAGTTCCAGCTACTCGGAAGGCTGAGGCGGAAGGATCGCCGGAGCCCAGCAGGTCGAGGCTGCGGTGACCGGGAGCGGCCGCTGCACTCCAGTCTGGGTGACGACGGAGTGAGACTCCAACTCAAAAAAAAAAGAAAACAGAAGTAAACATACATACACCTGATTTTATGGTCCTTTTCATGGAAGTTTGATGGGAAGACTGATTTAAATAAAGTTATAATCACCAAAGGTCATACAAGTTACAAAGAGAATATAAAGCGTGAAATGAATGATTACTACAGAAAAACCAGATTTACATTGAATGGTCAGGGACAACCACTGGGCCAGTGACACTTAAAATGAAATCCAATGGATGAGTAGAAATTAGCTATGCTAATCCTAGTCCATCTCTCCAGACTCTCAGGCAACTCTTCCCAATACGTTGTCCTTCAGAGCTCTCCACCCTCGAGCTTTTTCAAGGGCTAGTCCCTCAACTGCAATGATCCTCTCTCCCCCAACCCCAATTAGTGTCTAACTGCCAAGCATGCCTCCATTTCATTCCCAGTATATATGATTTCTGAAGAAAACCTTCTCTGATTCCCCAACCCCCATCCCCACCATCCCCAGATCAGAGTCCTGGTTGTGCAATTTCCTGTTTTTTTCCTTCGTGGTAGTGATCAGTTTTGTAATTACTTATTTGTCTGATATCTTACTAATACCTATTCTTCCCACTTTACTCAACTATTTAAGAAATATACCTATTCTTTTGTGTAAAATTCAGAGTGGAAGTAGCATTTATTCAAATTATTTACCACGCCAGAAGTGTCTGTAAACATACATACTACACGATTTTTTTTATATCTCTTGCTCACTACTAAAGGTGGCAGGCAGCTGCTTTAAAAAAAAAAAAAAAAAACCCATCCATGCTTATTTGTCTCAGAAGCGATTGTATTTGGTACTCCCTACAAAATGCTGTATCATTTAGAACACTTCATGCTATTATACTGTTGGACTTAGGTAGTTCAAAAGTCACTACTTCAACGATCATTTCTAAAAGGCAACGGCAAACTTTTAAATACAAATACGCTTTTTCTAAAACAAAAGAACTCCCACTTAACTAAAGACAAAGGTATTTAAACGAAATTCACCTGGAAGGACCTAATTAAATCTTAAGAGAACATTCTGAACCTTACTAAAGGACACGAGTAGCATAAAATAAACGTTTGTCTTATATTCCGCATGTCTCCGATTAATTTAACAAAATGTTAACAAAACCTGTTCTATCCAAACCAACCAACCGCCTGCCCAGCTTTATCTGAGATCCAAACCCCAAACTGCAACTATCTAAATGAGGTATACCAGAAGTTTCAAAGTCACATGAACCGGGATTTCACCTATAATGAAGTCAGCAAAAACTACATTCTTAGTCCCTTGGCATAAAGTTACTTCCTGCCGAACATAAAAGGAATTACTCAACCGGTCTTAGGCCCCAGATCCTCCGCGGGAGGGGTCCGAAGAGAGCAAATCCCAGAGGCAGGCCCATTCATTTCGGGAGTCTGCAGCCCCGGCCGGGGGGTGGGGTGAAGATGGGGGG